ATACACAATTGCTCCTCTGGTTCCAGTCCTGTATTGTGATGAAGGGTGTCTTTGTCTGTATCTTGGCCCTCTGTTATTGTGCCAGTATTTGCTATCCACTATTCACCCTAAGCCAGCAAGAACAAACCAAGCTCATGGGAGATTTTGAGACTGATACCTCTTTTCCAGAACCCCCCCCCCACAAGTGGTACAATTTCCAATCCTTCATATTTCAAACTACATATATATATATATACACGGTAACTCCAGCAAAAGGTCTTAAAACACCCTGCTTTTCCTACTCCTCTGTATTATTTCAGCATTTAGCTTCAGAAATACAATTAGGACCAGGCTTTTGAAACCTGCTGATTATGCATGTTTACTCAGAAGTAAATCCCATAGTACTCCATGAGGCTTCCTCCCAGGTTCATAGGAATAGTATGCAAAGGGTTCTTGTAGCACCTTTGAGACTGAGAGAGAATAGTTGATGGACTAAAGACTATTCCTATTCAAAAGATTATCCCGGTTAACATTTTCCACTTTAAACATTGTTGCTGTTGTGTCAAGTCATTTCCAAGTTATGAAGACCCACCACAGGGTTTTCATGGCAAGTTTCTTCTGAGCAGGTTTGCCACTGCCATACTGAGGCTGAGAGAGCGTGACTTGCCCAAGGTCATCCAGTGGTTTTGCATAGCTGAGCCAGGATTTAATGGGATTTAACTTTTTTTAAACAAATACATAGGAAATGTCTGGAATAATTGTTTGGTCTTAAGCTATATTCCTTGATATCTGCCTTCACGAGTACTAATACTCACCAACAATTATTTTATTTTCCTTTTGGTAGCTGATTATTGGCCTTCAACCTTATCAATGTAAATACAACACTGAAAGAAGTCAAAACAGGTTTCCATGAATTCCCAAATATAGGGGGAAGAAACACACAATAAGGGACAAGGCAGGGAAGAACCCAGATTTATTTTGGGGAACTAAAAAAATTGGTTTTAAAAGTATAGCAACCAAGAGAGTGGTTTATTATTATTATTATTATTATTATTATTATTATTATTATTATTATTATTATTATTTCTATCCCATCCCTCTGCCGAAGCAATCGGGGCAGCTTACAAATTTAAAATATTATAGTATACGATCCCAAAAAACCCCTCCCACCCCTTAAAATGGCATTCAACATCAGGTTACATTTTAATTCACAATTGTTTTAACACTTACATTTGTTTCATTTTTAATTTTTTTTATATTTATCTGTTTTAATGTACCATTTGTAAATTGTACATTGTATTGTTTTTTAGTTGTTGTTCGCCACTTTGAGTCTCTATATTGAGGATATAAAATAATAATGATAATAATGATAATAATAACAACAATAATAATGATTGGTTTGACATTTGGACTATGACTCTGGAGACCAGGGTTCAAATCCTGGCTTGGCCATGGAAATCCACTGGGTGACCTTGGGCAAGGCATACTCTCTCAGCCTCAGGGGAAGGCAATGACAAACCTCCTCTGAACAAATCTTCCCAAGGAAACCCCATGATAGGGACACCCTAAGTCAGAAACGACTGGAAGGCACACAACAACAAACAACCACAACCATGTACACTTCTAGTCAGAATTACAATAATGATGATAGAGACCAGAAAGCTGAGAGCCCCTCTACCCCAAAGGTAGCTGCTGCCCATATCATGTTCAAGAGTCTGGTGGAATCACTGCCTTCCATCTCAGGCAACTTACATTAAAGCCACCCCAGGAATTGAAAGTAATGACACACAATTCCAGAGCATAAAGTTTTCTCCTAAATATCTGGTAAAGGACGGGTGGGTATGGGGACAGAAGACCTCCCTCCCCCCAATGCAGGGTGACCAGATGTCCTCCCTTTCCAGGACCTGTCCTCTATTTCAACCTTCTGGCCAGGAGAGAATTTCAAAAGGTCCTCCATTCTGAGCATGTCTAAGAAGCTGGAATGGATATTCCTAGGAATGTGTTGCACTTTGTACGTGATTCTGTCCTCCATTTCTCTGGAATGCCCTCCATTCCCCAGAGGGCCTTGTCCCTACAAGCTCCTATTCCCAGAAAGGAAAGTTAAACCGAGTTCAGAAGGACTTAATAACTTGTCCTCCCTCCAGCCAGAATTCCATAGTATTGAGCCACGTCAGTTAAAGCAGGGTCAACCCGGATTGTTTCCGCAGTGCGGATGCAGTCTAATACACACACACACACACACACACACACACACACACACACACACACACACACACACAGAGTAGATTTCCTTTCAGTTTTGCAAACTTACAGTGAAAGGTGGTCCGTGGAGAAGCGAGGCTCCTTAGTCCCTGACAAACTCAGGCAAACTTTGGAAGAAGAAAAAACTCATATGAGGATGAACAGCAGCAGCTCTCACTTCCTCCCGAAAAAATAATGTTAAAGTATCATTTTTCCATGAAGGGAGTCATTCCCCAGAGAGAGAGAGAGAGAGGCGCAGGGACTTTCCATTTCCCTTTCGGAAGGAAAGGACGCTACAATTTTGCGGAGGAAGTCGTTTTAACACAGAGCGGTAGGAGCGTTGGCCTTCGAAGCCAAGGGTTCGAATCCCCCCGTACATCCAAAGGACGCTCACTGAGGGAGCAAGTCACACTCTCTCAGCCTCAGAGGAAGGCTGAAGAAAAGAAAGAAAAAAAAAACGCGGCGAGAAAACCCCAACATAAGTTGGCCTCAGAGTCTCCATCAGTCGGAAAGAGACATTATTTGAAGACACAGAGAGAGACTTTTCTTCCTATAGGAAACCATTCTTGTGGGAAATGGATGGGGATGAGAAAGGTCAAGAAATGAAAGATAAGGACCATCCCGGGTCATGGGTGGGTTATTGGTCCCTCTCTTAATAATATTACCATCCACACTGGAGCACTACTCTGGTTTGAACTCACTCTAACTGCCCT